CTGCAGAACAGTACCTCCAAGACCCATCCCCGCGAGGCGTCCCAGAAGGATACCGTGGTCGACGGTATCGAAGGCCGCTGAGAGGTCGAGAAGCATCTCTGTTCCAGTCTACAAATAATTGCTTCTTTCTTATTATCAAATAATTGCTTCTTTCTTATTATCGGGAGGTTTTTGGGGAGTATATTAGATTTTACTACTGCTATTCTACCCATTAGAGAGAGTTTTATATGTTGCCAGTCTTTTAGGTCTTTTTTAATCTGTCTCCATTTTACCTCGTAATTATTTTTTAATAGTTGAGAGTTCTTCGCCGTAATATATATACCAAGGTATTTAGTCTTTGTTGTTGTTTGTAGGCCTGTGAGTACCGTCAATCTTTCTTTTCTTTCCCTTGAGATATTTTTAGTAAGTATTGTGGATTTGGATTTGTTAATTTTGAGGCCTGAGACCTTGCCAAATTCTTCTATTTTTTCTATCCAGAGATTGATGTTACTAAGAGGGTCTTGTATTGTACAAATAAGGTCGTCAGCGAACGCTCTTAGTTTGAAAGATTCCTTTTGTATGTTTACTCCTATCAGTCTACTATCCTCCCTGATCTCATTTAATAAGATTTCTAGCGCCAGAATGAAAATTAGCGGCGAGAGGGGACAGCCCTGTCTCGTGCCTTTCTCTATCATCAGTCTTTCTGATTCATGCCCATTTGTCTTGATGATTGCACTTTGATCAGCGTAGATGGCATCTATAGCGTTCAGGAATTTAAAACCAATGTCCATTTCTCTAAGTATCGATTTGAAAAAGGACCAGCTTAGATTATCAAACGCCTTTTCCGCGTCGACCTGTCGGGAGGGTTTTGATGGTGTTTTCCTGCCTGATAGAAACAGGGTTGGAGTGGATGGCCCTTGGGGTCTCTTCCAACTCTAAGGACTCTGTAGATCCCCATCCAATCCGCCCTGTTCATCCCGGGATGCCTGCCCTTTGGACCCAGCTTGTTTATTTGAACTTTCCCTTTCCTTTGGAGGCAGATTTGAACCTTTGGCCTCACTTTCAGAATCCCGGGACTCTCAGAAATGCTGCCTCCACTTCGAGCGAGAAGAGTCCCCCAAAGGCCATCCAGCCCAACCTCATTTCTGCCAGGCAGAGAGACAACACTAAAGCCCTCCATACAGATGTTATCCAATTGGTCCCTAACTTCATCCTATGGGATATATAGTTCCATTCAACATTTTGACTTCTGTACTGGAGACCTCTGTGGGCCTAAAGACCTTAATGTGATCTCATCACATTGAGATCAGATCTGATGATGATGATTAGAAGTAGTAGTACTATTAATATTCAAAATTAAGGCCCAAGTCTAAACCTGAAATTCATTCATGTTCCATATACACATAGACTGAAGGCAATTATATAATATTTTTGATAATAGTCTGTGCAGCTTCCAACTGGGAGTTGTAGTTCTACAAGGTCTCTAGTTTTTGGGGTCCATCTGCATTCATCCTACAGTGCAAATGCACTCTCAGGTCCAACTACCCTGCCATATAATCCAGTTTCTGAATCCAGATTATATCCACTTTTAACTGGGTTATATGGCAGTGTAGATAACACAGTCAAGGCATTCTGTGGGCATTACGAGGGCTATCCGAAAAGTAAGGTTACAAGATTTTAAAAATATATACAGAGAATTAATATATTTTGATAAAACTTACATGGATTTTACAGCACGAACTTTGCATTTGGAGGTAAACGGAGTGAGGATGCTCAACTCTAGCATTCACCACAACGCCAGTGGATGAGCTACTGATGATTGGCACTGCTCATTCGCTTCTGCTGGCTTCCCACTACACGACAGTGATACAAACTTCCACCGCGAAAGTTCCCCATGAGAGCTAAATGCCTGTCACCTTCTTTTCCGGATATCCCTCGTACAACGTGAACTTTGCACTTGGAGGGGAAACGGAATGAGGACGCTCATCTTTAACCACTATGCCAGTTGATGAGCTACTGACAACTGGCACTGCTCGTTTGCTTTTGCTAGCTTCTTGCTACACGGCAGTGAGAGCTACATGCTTTGTAACCTTCCTTTCTGGATATCCCTCGTACAGCGTGAACTTTGCACTTGGAGGGAAACAGAATGAGGACGCTTATTATAACCTTCACCACTATGCCAGTTGATGAGCTACCGATGACTGGCACTGCTCGTTTGTTTCTGCTGGCTTCCCGCTACACGGCAGTGATACCAATTTCCACCATGAAAATTCCCCGTAAGAACTACATGCCTTGTAACCTTCCTTTCTGGATATTCCTCGTACAGCGTGAACTTCGCACTTGGAGGGGAAACAGAATGAGGATGCTCATCTATAACCTTCACCACTATGCCAGTCAATGAGCTACTGATGATTGGCACTGCTCGTTTGTTTCTGCTGGCTTCCCGCTACATGGCAGTGAGATCAACTTCCGCCGCAAAAATTCCCTTCGAGAGCTACATGCCTTGTAACCTTCCTTTCCGGATATCCCTCGTATAGCGTGAACTTCACAGTTGGAGGGGAAACGGAATGGGGACGCTCATCTATAACCTTCACCACTATGCCAGTGGATGGGCTGCTGACGACTGGCACTACTCGTTTCCTTTTGCTGGCTTCCCAATACACAGCAGTGATACAAACTTCCACCATGAAAGTTCCCAGTGAGACCTACATGCCTTGTAACCTTCTTTTCCAGGTATCCCTCGTACAGCATGAACTTCACACTTGGAGGGGAAAAAGAATGAGGATGCTCATCTCTCATCTTCACCACAGCGCCAGTGGATGACCTACTGATGACTGGCACTGCTCGTTTGTTTCTGCTGGCTTCCCACGACACAGCAGTGATACCAACTTCCCCTGCGAAAATTCCCCGTGAAAACTACATGCCTTGTAACCTTCCTTTCCAGATGTCCCTTGTATAGCATGAACTTCGCACTTGGAGGGGAAACGGAATGAGGACGCTCATTATAACCTGCACCACTATGCCAGTTGATGAGCTACTGACGACTGGCACTGCTCATTTGTTTCTGCTGTTTTCTCGCTACACGGCAGTGATACCAACTTCTATTTTGACTGTTCTTGTAAGCCGCTCAGAGCCCCAGGGGAGTGGCAGCATATACATTTGAATAATAATAATAATAATAATAATAATAATAATAATAATAATAAATATAACCTTCACCACTATGCCGGTTGATGAGCTATTGATGACTTGCACTGCTCGTTTGTTTTTGCTGGCTTCCCACTACATGGCAATGATACCAACTTCCACCATGAAAGTTCCCCGTGAGAGCTACATACCTTGTAACCTTCCTTTCCAGATATCCCTCGTATAGCGTGAAATTCGCACTTGGAGGGGAAACAGAATGAGGATGCTTATTATAACCTTCACCACTATGCCAATTGATGAGCTACCGCCGACTGGCACTGCTCGTTTGTTTCTGCTGGTTTCCTGCTATACAGCAGTGATACCCACTTCCACCATGAAAGTTCCCTGTGAGAGCTACGTGCCTTGTAACATTCCTTTCCGGATATCCCTCATACAGCGTGAACTTCGCACTTGGACAGGAAACAGAATGAAGACGCTCATCTATAACCTTCCCCACTATGCCAGTTGATGAGCTACTGATGACTGGCACTACTCGTTTACTTTTGCTGGCTTCCCGCTACACAGCAGTGATACAAACTTCCACCATGAAAGTTCCCCGTGAGAGCTACATGCCTTGTAACCTTCCTTTCCAGATATCCCTTGTATAAGGTGAATGTCGCACTTGGAGGGAAACAGAATGAGGATGCTCATCTCTCATCTTCACCACAACACCAGTGGATGAGCTACTGACGACTGGCACTGCTCATTCCATTCTGCTGGCTTCCCTCTATACGGCAGTGATACCAACTTCCCCCATGAGAGCTACATGCCTTGTTACCATACTTTCCGGATAACCATCGTATTACAGTACTTCTTTGGTGCTGGAGAAAGAAGTAATAAACATATTACTGCTCTTGGCAAAGAGTAGGGTACGTTTCAGCACAACCTGTTGATCACATTTATTTGCATACTAGCTGTACCCTGCCACGCGTTGCTGTGGCCCACATGGGAGTTCTGTGTGGGAAGTTTGGCCCAATTCTAACGCTGGTGCGGTTCAGAATGCTAAGTGATTGTAGGTGAACTATAAATCCCAGCAGCTACAAATCCCAAATGTCAAGAATCTATTTTCCCCAAACTCCACCAGTGTTCACATTTGGGCATATTGAGTATTCTTGTAGTGTTTGGTCCAGATCCATCATTGTTTGAGTGCACAGCGATCTCTGGATGTAGGTGAACTACAACTCCAAAACCAAAGGACACTGCCCACCAAACCCTTCCAATATTTTCTGTTGGTCATGGGAGAACTGTGTGCCAAGTTTGGTTCAATTCCATCGTTGGTGTGGTTCAGAATGCTCTTTGATTGTAGGTCAACTATAAATCCCAGCAATTACAACCCCCAAATGACAAAATCACTTTTTTTGAGTGAAGTACATACATTGGGTTCTTAGGTATCTTGTATCCAAATTTGGTGTCAATTCGTCCAGTGGTTTGAGTTCTGTTAATCCCACAAACGAACATTACATTTTTATTTATATAGATGAAATGAAACAAGTAGGTTCAATAAGCCGAGCACAAATTGACAAACTTTCCAAAAGTCCTCTTGGCTGCATCTTCCAAAATGTATAGTAAAACTGCAAAATCAAGGTGTGCATTCAGATTTTTGAAAGTGTTATCAAGCCAGTCTCTGGATGAAGAACACAGTGTTCATTTCCAGGTAAGTCCGCACACCTTGCCACACCTGGCTGCAGGCGCAGGAGAGCTCCTTGCCCACCTGGACCTCATCCAGAAACATTAGAACTGCACAGGTAAGTAGGAAAGGTGGGCGGATTCACCTATAAAATCCACCTGCCTCGTTGCCCAGGTAAGTCTTTGGACGTGTTTGCCATCGAAGGAACATGGGTTGCGTCATACGCGAAGCCACAGTAGAGGATTGCGAACAAATTATGAGTCTGATACAGGTGAGCTTGAGCTCTTCACTTATCCTTAGAGTTTCCCCTTTTGCCTTCAGCTGTCTCTCTTGCACATTCTCAAAGACACTCTGTACATGCTCAGAGATGCATCCAAACTACAGATCCCATCATTCCCCAACAGGAAGCCGTTGCAGTCAAACTGCATTCATCCTCCAGTGTCAATAACAGGCTCAAAAAGGCATTTAAAGGTATATTGCTAAAAGCAAAATAGATAGATCAAGGTATTTGGAATTAATAGGAAAAATAATGATTGATTCCAGGAGTTCTTGCCCATCCAAAATGTCACTTTTCCAAAGTTTAGTCATTGCAAACTCCTGTGTTGTTTTCTGTCTGTTTCTTGCAGGAAATTGCTGCTTATCATCACTTAGAGCATGACGTAACGATAAATTCAGAAGGTAAGGATTGTGCAATGCAGGACGTTTCGGACAGATTGCAGTTAAAATCCAGTGCAATGTATGTTGCGTTATGTGTGCATCTATACTGCAGAATGAAAACAGTTTGGCCCCACTTTTAACTGCCATGGCTCAGTGCTATAGAATTGGGGTTTGTAGTTTGATATAACAATGGCTTCAAACTACAAGAAAGGAGATTCCATCTGAACATGAGGAAGAACTTCCTGATAGGCCTGTGCGGTTTCGTTCGTTAATTTTGTTATTCGTTAAACATTCGTTATTTTTAGCATTTACGAATCGATATCAAAACACTTTTTCAAACCCGGAAGGGTTTAAAAATATTGAAGCGGCATCCCCCATCCTTTTAACGAGCTTCCGCCCGTTTCGGAAATTGGATGGAGGATGCTGGTGCCTGGGAGCCAATCCGGCGCTCCCAAGCACCCAAGCAGTGCACCGTGGCTGATTTTGATTGGCCGGGAAGGCCTTTAAAAGCGGCTCCGCGTGGCCGCAGAGCTCATTTGCGCGGAGGCGAGGGAGGAGAGAGGTCCGGGACGGGAGGGCTGCTTGCTTTGGGTTGGCTTAGTTGGTTGCGGTAAAGACTTGCATTGTTGGAAAAGACTCTTCTTTGTTGGAAAAGACTCTTCTGTTGGTGTTTGCTCTCGACTGCCCTGTCTTTTGGCTGTGTTAGCTGTTCATCAGGGCCATTTTTGGGTTGATTTTCCATTTTTGAATATTTTTAAAAAATACCTGTCTTTTATTCTTTAAAAAAATACAAAAAATATTCTAAAAAAGAGAAGACTCTTCTGTTGGTGTGTGCTCTCACTTGCCCTGTCTCGTGGCTGTGTTTGGTCCACATCAGGGCCAGTTTTTGGTTAAGTTTCCATTTTTGAATATTTTCTAAAAATACCTGCCTTTTATTGTTAAAAAAAACCAAAAATATTCCAAAAAAAGAAAATACTCTTCTGTTGGTGTGTGCTCTCACTTGCCCTGTCTCGTGGCTGTGTTTGGTCCACATCAGGGCCAGTTTTTGGTTAAGTTTCCATTTTTGAATATTTTCTAAAAATACCTGCCTTTTATTGTTAAAAAAAACCCAAAAATATTCCAAAAAAAGAAAATACTCTTCTGTTGGTGTGTGCTCTCACTTGCCCTGTCTCGTGGCTGTGTTTGGTCCACATCAGGGCCAGTTTTTGGTTAAGTTTCCATTTTTGAATATTTTCTAAAAATACCTGCCTTTTATTGTTAAAAAAAACCAAAAATATTCCAAAAAAAGAAAATACTCTTCTGTTGGTGTGTGCTCTCATTTGCCCTGTCTCGTGGCTGTGTTTGGTCCACATCAGGGCCAGTTTTTGGTTAAGTTTCCATTTCTGAATATTTTCTAAAAATACCTGCCTTTTATTCTAAAAAAATACAAAAAATATTCTAAAAAAGAAAAGACTCTTCTGTTGGTGTGTGCTCTCATTTGCCCTGTCTCCTGCCTGTGTTAGCTCTACATCAGGGCCAGTTTTTAGTTAATTTTCCATTTTTGAATATTTTCTAAAAATACCTGCCTTTTATTCTTAAAAAAAATACAAAAAATATTCCAAAAAAAAGGAAAAGACTCTTCTGTTGGTGTGTGCTTTCAATTGCCCTGTCTCCTGCCTGTGTTAGCTCTACATCAGGGCCAGTTTTTGGTTAATTTTCCATTTTGAATATTTTCTAAAAATACCTGCCTTTTATTCTTAAAAAAACAAAAAATATTCTAAAAAAGAAAAGACTCTTCTGTTGGTGTGTGCTCTCATTTGCTGTCTCGTGGCTGTGTTTGGTCCACATCAGGGCCAGTTTTTGGTTAATTTTCCATTTCTGAATATTTTCTAAAAATACCTGCCTTTTATTCTTAAAAAATACAAAAAATATTCTAAAAAAGAAAAGACTCTTCTGTTGGTGTGTGCTCTCGTTTGTCCTGTCTCGTGGCTGTGTTTGGTCCACATCAGGGCCAGTTTTTGGTTAATTTTCCATTTCTGAATATTTTCTAAAAATACCTGTCTTTTATTCTTAAAAAAATACAAAATATTCGCTTTAACGAATCGATTCGTTATTATCTCAATATCGAATCGAATCATATTTAATAATGATGCTTCGGAAGCCGCTTTTGCGCATGCGCGATCGCGTCCGCCATTTTAACGAATCGATTCGTTATATCCTTAACGAATCGACCCCGCGCCAATAACGAAGCTTCGGAAGTGATTTTGCGCATGCGCGGGGGTCCGCCATCTTTACAAAATGTTTTGTAAATATTTACGAAATTTCGTAAATACCGAAACTTTTTTTGGGAAAGTTTTGTAATTATTTTAAATATCGAAACAAAAAAACACCCCAATTACAAATCGATTTTAGAAACAAATTTTTTCTTGATCAACCAGGCCTACTTCCTGACTGCGAGAGCTGTTCAGCAGTGGAACTCTCTGCCTAGGAGTGTGGTGGACGCTCCCTCTTTGGAAGCTTTTGAACAAGAGGCTGGACAGCCATCTGTCAAGGGTGATTTGAATGCAATATTCCTGCTTCTTGGCAGGCGGTTGGACTGGATGGCCCATGAGGTCTCTTCCAACTCTAGGATTCTATAACTGGGAGTTATAGTTTGGTGAGACCTCTATTATTTGGCCAAGAAGTCTCAAGTCCTTGTAAACCTACAATTCCTAGGATGCATTAGCATTGAGCCATAGTGGTCAAAGTGGTCGCTCCAGCTGGAGGTCAGCTGTGACCAGCAGTGCTGCAGAATTGGAAGAGGCACGAATGGAGGGCGAAAGAGAAGCGTGCCAAGAGGAAGGCGCGTCAAGAGGAAGGTCCCGACGGGACCGCCTTCCACCTGAGAAGACAAGCGGGCAAATGTCAGCGTGCCAGAAGAAGCAAAGACCACCATCACTGAAGCGATGGTCCTCCGGCATCAACTCCGCTGGACCGGCCACATTGTCCGGATGCCCGACCACCGTCTCCCAAAGCAGTTGCTCTACTCCGAACTCAAGAACGGAAAACAAAATGTTGGAGGACAGGAAAAGAGATTGAAAGATGGGCTCAAAGCCAACCTTAAAAACTCTGGCATAGACACTGAGAACTGGGAAGCCCTGGCCCTTGAGCGCTCCAGCTGGAGGTCAGCTGTGACCAGCAGTGCTGTAGAATTTGAAGAGGGTGAAAGAGAGAAACGTGCCAAGAGGAAGGTGCGTCAAGCCAACCCCAACCGGGACAACCTTCCACCTGGAAACCAATGCCCTCACTGCGGGAGAAGATGCAGATCAAGAATTGGGCTCCACAGTCACCTATGGACCCACCTTGGAGGATCAACCTACTCAGACAACGAGGGATTGTCTAAGTAAGTAAGTACCACACAGTCAAAATACAACCATTAAAGCATATATTGAAACCTATTCACATTCAAATACTGAGCTGAAAGGGAACCCAAAGGTCATCTAGTCTGACCCCCAGCAGCTAAAGCATCCAATATAATGGGAAAATGCCTGCATTTAATGGAAATTACTATTCTTTTTCTCTGCTGCAACTTTTCTCTTCTTTGTTCCATCTTTCCTCCAGTTTTAAAAGCGGATGGCTTTGGCGCAAACTCCTTCTTCAAATGCTTACTGGCTGAACAGCCTGCGGAAAATGGAAGTAAGCCAGGTAAAGTGTCTCCTGACTCCATATATTAGCATGGAGTGCGTTTACACTGAGGAATTAATGCAGTTTGATACCACTTTAACTTCCTTAGCTCAGTGCTATGGAATCGTGACAGTTTTCACTTTCTCTGTCCAAGAGTGCTGTTGCCTCACCAAATTACAACTCCTATTATTCCATAGCATTGAGCCATTGCAGTTAAAGTGCTGTCAAACTGCATTAACTTGACAGTACAGATGCCTCCAATGCGCAAGGAACATTATGACCCATAGCATTGAGCCATTACAGTTAAAGTGGTGTCAAACTGCATTAACTTGACAGTGCAGATGCATCCAATGCCCAATGACTCATATATTTGTATTATAAGGTTGTAAATTACGATTTATCTGGTATTTCTTCTTCCCAAATGCAGTTCGCCCCATCGGCTATGCCCTCTACTATTTCGGATACAGTGTGAACCACGGACGGATGCTTTATTTGGAAAACCTATACGTTGTGCCTGAATTAAGAAGTAAGCAAATAAGGTTCCACTAATAAGTTTGTCACTCAAGGGGTTATTTTACTTAGTTGAACTCCTTTTTCTCCTAATTTTGCTGGGGGCCAGGGCTCACCCTCCATTCTGCTTTGCGTCCAGGAGCTTGCTGCAGTTTCCAAGGATTAATTGATTTCTAGCTGCAACTTGCAATGAATTGTCGAAGGCTTTCATGGCTGGAAAAACTGGGTTGTTGTAGTTTTTTCGGGCTATATGGCCATGTTCTAGAGGCATTCTCTCCTGACGTTTCGCCTGCATCTATGGCAAGCATCCTCAGAGCAGTGAGGTCTGTTGGAACGCTGGCCATAGATGGAGGCGAAACGTCAGGAAAGAATGCCTCTAGAACATTGCCATATAGCCCAAAAAAACCTACAACAACCCAACTTGTAATGACTTTCAAGGGAACATTTTTTCAGTTCGATTCTTCCTTTCTCAATTCATGCTGGAGCCAGGTCTCACCCTCCACTCTGCTTTACATTCAGCCTTCTCTAGATATGAGTAGCTTAAATTTTCCTAAATGAGAAGGAAAAATAACTACTAGGGGATTGTGCATAGTCTTATACAATTGGCAGATCCTTCCAAATTTGAAGAAGAATGGCAGCCTCCTTTCTCAAGTCATGATGGAGCCAGGACTCACCTTCTACTCTGCTTTGTATCCAGGCGCTTTCTACAGGTTCCAAGATTGATTGATTTCTAACTATAACTTGCAACGACTCTTGGGGGAATATTTATTTATTCAGTTTGATTCTTCCTTTCTCAATTCATGCTGGAGCCAGGCCTCACCTTCCACTCTACTTTGCACCCAGGAGCTGGCTGCAGTTTGCAACGATTAATTGATTTCTAGCTGCAACTTGCAACGACTCTCAAGGGAATATTTATTCATTCAGTTCTATATATATTTTTTGTCGTGTCAGGAGCGACTTGAGAAACTGCAAGTCGCTTCTGGTGTGAGAGAATTGGCTGTCTGCAAGGACATTGCCCAGGGGATGCCAGGATGTTTTAATATTTTACCATCCTTGAGGGAGGCTTCTAGGAGCTAGAGCTGACAGAGGGAGCTCATCTGCCCCTTCCTGGATTCGAGCATGAGACCTGTTGGTCTTCAGTCCTGCCGGCACAGGGGTTTAACCATTATAATAATAATACTTTATTTGTAACCAGCTCTATCTCGTGAGGGGACATCTCAAGTCATGCTGGAGCCAGGACTCACCCTCCACTCTGCTTTGTATCCAGGAGTGAGAATAAGAAGGAATAAGATCCCTCTTTTCAAACTGATTTGGGGTGAAAAAAAGCCCCTTTTGCTACGATCTCTGTAGCATCCTTGATTTAGAATTCTTTGGTTGGAAGGGATCCCCAAAGGCTATCTAGTCCAACCCCAAAAAAAGAGATATGTAGGTACTCAAACACAACTCCGGTTAGAAGTTTAAACTCTCATTTTTATGGGAGCCGAGTGATATCAGTAGGAAACTCTGGACTTAAAGGAAAGCAATTGCCTGGCAGAGAGCAAAAGGAACCCATAAACGCCCGGTCGTAAAAAAGGGCTTCTGTTGTTGCCCATAAAGTCAAAGAAAGCCATTAAGTGGAAGAACACAGAGAGGAAATTAGACACGAACATAAACCAGGAGTCATTGCACATGGGTTTATTGGCCATTTCAGGTGGGGAAAAGGCAACCTCAAAGCAAGTTTTGCTTTTTTCCCATCGCAACGCAATGCAAATAAATTAGGACTATGACTGTCAACCAACACGATCCCATTGGTGTTTACTCTTTTAGTAAACCAGGAGTAACTCTGGCCTAAGGTAAAGGTCAAGTTTGTCGTTTCTTAGGAAAGGGAGACATAAATGGACAGAAAATCCCATTGGATGATGGGATTTGCAGTCCAAAGCGTCCCATAGGCCAAACCGCATGTCCTGAACACCGAATTCTAAAGTTTCAATGGGACAATATTTTTTATTTTATTTAATACTAGCTGTCCCCTACCACGCGTTGCTGTGGCCCACATGGCTGTTCTGTGTGGGAGGTTTGGCCCAATTCTATTGTTGGTGGGTGATTGTAGGTGAACTATAAATCCCAGCAACTACAACTCCCAAATGCCAAGGTCAATTTCTCCACCAGTTTTCACATATTGGCATATTGAGTCTTCATGCCAAGTTTGGTCCAGATCCATCATTGTTTGAGTCCTCAGTGATCTATGGATGTAGGTGAACTACAACTCCAAAACCAAAGGTCAATGCCCACCAAACCCTTCCAGTATTTTCTATTGGTCATGGGAGTTCTGTGTGCCAAGTTTGGTTCAATTCCATCACTGGTGAAATTCAGAATGATCTTTGATTGTAGGTGAACTATAAATCCCAGCAACTACAACTCCCAAATGCCAAGGTCAATTTTTCCCAAACTCCACCAGTGTTCACATTTGGGCATATTGAGTATTCATGCCAAGTTTGGTCCAGATCCATCATTGTTTGAGTCCTCAGTGATCTATGGATGTAGGTGAACTACAACTCCAAAACCAAAGGTCAATGCCCACCAAACCCTTCCAGTATTTTCTGTTGGTCATGGGAGTTCTGTGTGCCAAGTTTGGTTCAATTCCATCGTTGGTGGAGTTCAGAATGCTCTTTGATTGTAGGTGAACTATAAATCCCAGCAACTACAACTCCCAAATGACAAAATCAATTTTTAGAGTAATGGTCACTCATTGGGTTGTTAGGTGCCTTGTGTCCAAATTTGGTGTCAATTCATCCAGTGGTTTTTGAGTTAGGTTAATCCCACAAATGAACATTACATTTTTATTTATATAGATTTTATTAACTATTTATTGTGATCAAATAATTTATTTAATAATTTTATTACGACTAAATTAATTGATTTTCTGCCTCATCTCGTTCTTTCCCTCCAGGCAAAGGAATTGGAATGAAACTGATGAAGAAAGTTGCAGAGGTGAGTTTGGAGTTGGGTTTGGGATGTTAACTCTTATTTGTTTTATTTATTTATTTACAGTATTTATATTCCGCCTTTCCCACCCTTCAGGGGACTCAGGGCGGATTTCAGTGTACACATATATGGCAAACATTCAATGCCAAAGACACACAACAGATATAGACAAACAGTCAAAGGCTATTTAACTTTTTCTGGCCGCCAGGGAAGTTGTTGCTTTCATCGTCCATCTGCGACACAGATGAAGTACTTCCTCATTCCCCACATGCTTTTGCTGGAGTCTTTTTTATGGCCTCGTAAATTAGTTAAATTAGCCTCCCCACACATAGGTGGTACCTAATTTTCCTACTTGACAGATGCAACTGTCTTTCAGGTTGCAAAGGTCGACAACAAGCTACACAATTGGTCGGAAGCTCACTCCGACCCGGGCTGGCTTTGAACTCATGACCTTGTGGTCAGAAGTGATCTTAATGCAGCTGATACTCAGACAGCTGCGCCACAGTCCCAGTGCAGTCCTTTCTTGCAATGTTTAACATGTACACAAATGACCAGCCACTGCCAGAAGGGACAGAGGGTTTCATCTATGCTGACGATTGTGCCATCACCACCCAAGCAGGGAGGTTTGAAAAGGTTGAACAGAAGCTCTCTGAAGCTTTAGGTGCTCTTACTGCCTATTACAGGGAAAACCAGCTGATTCCTAATCCATCTAAAATGTAGGCGTGTGCTTTTAACCTTAAGAACGGGCAAGCACGGAATCCCACTGAAGCTGTGCTGTCACGCACTGGGCCTGTGAAAAGGTCTGTAGACAGGACATTTTTTCTGAATGCCCAACAGGACACCGGGGATGCCTCGGCTGAGAGGCCCTTCGGATTTCCCCACACAAAGTTCTTTTAAAGACTTAGAAAGTTCAACAAAGTTTTTATTGTTGCTTAAATCTTCAATAAATCAAACAAATACTTCAAGGGGTTGTTGTAGGTTTTTCTGGGCTATATGGCCATGGTCTAGAGGCATTTTCTCCTGACGTTTCGCCTGCATCTATGGCAAGCATTCTCAGAGGTAGTGAGGTCTGTTGGAACTAGGAAAAAGAGTTTATATATCTGTAGAATGACCAGGGTGGGACAAAGGACTCTTGTCTGCTGGAGCTAGGTGGGAATGTTTCAACTGACCACCTTGATTAGCATTTAATGGCTTGGAAGTGCCTGGGGGAATCTTTCTTTGAGAGGTGATTTGATGCGCCTGATTGTTTCCTCTCTGTTGTTGTGCTGTTGTAATTTTAGAGTTTTTTTAATCCTGGTAGCCAGACTTTGTTCATTTTCATGGTTTCCTCCTTTCTGTTGAAATTGTCCACATGCTTGTGGATTTCAATGGCTTCTCTGTGTAGTCTGACATGGTGGTTGTGTATGGCCATGGTCTAGAGGCATTCTCTCCTGACGTTTCGCCTGCACTTTGGTCCAGCATTTCTGTGTTCTCAAATAAAATGTGTCCAGGTTGGTTCATCAGGTGCTCTGCTATGGCTGACTTCTCTGATTGACTTAGTCTGCAGTGCCTTTCATGTTCCTTGATGCGTGTCTGGGCAATGCTGCTGCGTTTGGTGGTCCCTATGTAGACTTGTCCACAGCTGCATGGTATACGGTAGACTCCTGCAGAGGTGAGAGGATCCCTCTTGTCCTTTGCTGAACGTAGCATTTGTTGAATTTTCTTGGTGGGTCTGTAGATAGTTTGTATGTTGTGTTTCCTCATCAGCTTCCCTATGCGGTCAGTGGTTCCCTTGATGTATGGCAGGAACACTTTTCCTCTGGGTGGATCTTCGTCTTTATTCTCGTGGCTTGTTCTCGGTCTTGCAGCTCTTCTGATGTCTGAGGTGCAGTATCCTGACCTAGCAGTTCTGCATCGTGGAAGCTCAAAACAGGACATATTGGCACAGTCATGCAAATGGTAGAGGAGATGGGCATAGAAAAAGACACTCGGGTCCCGCACACAAAGGCGCATTGTGAAGAGTAGCTACTTCCCCCGAGGCGGGCAGGAAAAGGCAATGGGGCCATCTTGTCCTGTCCATTGGGTGATTGTGTTACATATGTCCAGATAATGTCCATAAGATGGGCGAGGCTGGGAATTGATTGATTGAGGAAATCCCCAGCTTGGAGTCTCTTCTTATAGACTGTATGACCATCTGGGATGCAGGACTTCCTTTTGGGGTCAGTCAGGAATACAGTTTCCCACCCAGGGAAAGGAACAGGAAATCTCAGAAGCACAAAATGCATTAGTAACATAACATAGGAAAAGGCAGGGAATTTTTAGGGCATTTTTCATGCACACGAGAGACATAGTTTTCCCAAATACGTACAGATATCCAAGCTAGAAAAAAGAGGAAAGATACATAGTAGCTGAGAAAGGTACATTACAGCAAAGAAAGGGCAAGAGAAGCACAGATTTTAGGGTAACCAATTTATTAAGGGATCATAAGCAGTCTGTAGCTAGTTTCCTGATTGTCTGAACATGCGCAGAGCCAAACAATTACACTTTAAGTGTCTGCAGCCTTTGGAACTCTCTGCTGCAGACAAAAAGAGAAACAATAATTTTGCCCAGGGGGGTTTCATGCAACAACGTCAGCAAGCAAGAGTCCAAAAGTGGCAGATTAAAACACGGAACCTCAATCAGTGGCTGAGACTGGATGAGAAATAATAATAATAATAATAATAATAATAATAATAATAATAATAATAATCTTTATTTAATACCCCGCCACCATCTCCCCAATGGGGATTCAGGGGGTTTCATGCAACAACGTCAGCAAACAAGAGTCCAAAAGTGGCAGATTAAAACACGGAACCTCAATCAGTGACTGAGACGGGATGACAAATAATAATAATAATAATAATAATAATAATAATAATAATAATAATAATCTTTATTTAATACCCCGCCACCATCTCCCCAATGGGGATTCAGGGGGTTTCATGCAACAACGTCAGCAAACAAGAGTCCAAAAGTGGCAGATTAAAACACGGAACCTCAATCAGTGACTGAGACGGGATGACAAATAATAATAATAATAATAATAATAATAATAATAATAATAATAATCTTTATTTAATACCCCATCACCTTCTCCCCAATGGGGACTTGGGCTGGCTTACATGAGGCCAAGCCCAACAAGAGTCCAAAAGTGGCAGATTAAAACACGGAACCTCAATCAGTGGCTGAGACTGGATGAGAAATAATAATAATAATAATAATAATAATAATAATAATAATAATAATTATTATTATTATTATTAAATACCCCACCACCACATGAGGACTTGGGGCGGCTTACAGTATTATTATTATTATTATTATTATTATTATTATTATTATTATTATTAAATAAAAATTCTTGCTATTATTATTATGGAAAATAAATGTATATATTTTTAAAAGGATTGAGGGTTCCAATAATAGAGGGGAGTGTTGCAAAAGTGTAAGTGAAACTTATAATAATAATAATAATAATAATAATATATCCTGCCTTTCCCCAATTTATTTATTTATTTTATATCTCAACCTCCACAGAGGGACCCAAGAATTGGGTCTCAATTAAAATTAATTAATTAATTAACTGCCTTAAAATTTAATTTAAAAATCAAATGCAATTCTTCCCCCAATGTTTTCAGATTCTATTTGAATAAGAAATTAAAACTGCAAAAAAAAAATAATGTAAATGTATTAAAATAATATTTAAGTGTAAACATTAAAAATTAAATATGAATATTAAAATTGTATTTAAATAAATAAAATAATAATAATAATCCCGGGAATTTTTCTGTCATTTCCTGGTCATCTTTGGTCTCTATCTTGCAATATTAAACTAGGAAAAGTCTGTATAGCAACTTTATTGGCTGCAATGAACATATAATAATAAAATTTAATGGCTGTCTTTTATTGTCTTTGTTCTAATTACGTCTTGGCCTCTTTTTTTTATAATGGTACTTTTTATTATTATTGGTCAAGATGAGACCAAAATAGCCTCAGGATGAGAAAAAAAACCTCTAACTTTGGAGCGAACTATAACTCCCAGAATCCCCCAGAATCCCTTGCCAAACTACAACTCCCAATTGAGAGCTTTTTTGTTGTTGTTGTGTCAGGAGTGACTTGAGAAACTGCAAGTCGCTTCTGGTGTGAGAGAATTGGCCATCTGCAAGGACGTTGCCCAGGGGACACTGCCCGGATGTTTTGATGTTTTTATCATCCTTGTGGGAGGCTTCTCTCATGTCCCCACATGAGGAGCTGGAGCTGATAGGGGGAGCTCATCCGTGCTCTCCTCGGATTCGAACCTGCGACCTGTCGGTCTTCAGTCCTGCCGGCACAGGGGTTTAACCCACTGGGCCAATAGGAGCTCCATGCCAAGTTTGATGCAGATCCATCAGTGTTTGGGTTTACAGTGCTCTCTGGATGTAGGTGAACTACAACTCCCCCAACTCAAGGTGAATTTTTCCCAAAGACCCCCCAGTATTTTTTGCTGGTCTTTGTAGCTCTGTGTGCCAAGTCTGGTCCAATTCCATCTTTGGTGGAGTTCAGAGTTCTCCTTGAATGTAGGTGAACTATAAATCCCAGTACCTACAATTCCAAAATGATCCAGCCAATTTCCCTCAAAACCCACCAGAATTCAAATGTAAGCATATTGAGTATGCATGCCAAGTTTGATGCAGATCCATCATTGTTTGGGTTCATAGTGCGCTCTGGATGTAGGTGAACTACAACTCCTAGAAATCCCTCCAAAGACCTTGGTCTTCAGTCCTGCCGGCACAGGGGTTTAACCCACTGCACTACTGGGGGCTCCAATTGAGAGCTAAAGTGGCATGAAACTGCATTAATTCGACACGTGTAGATGCACCCACAGTTAAGTACGGTACTGGGAGGACTGCAACTCCCAAAATCTGAAATTTCCTTATATGTTGTATCGCAGACCGGAAGAAAGAAGGCAAATGCAAACTGAGTGTTGGGGAAAGTAATGTAGGAAAAATAGGACTACAACTCCCAACATTGCTGACCAGCCTGAGCAATGCCAATTGGGGGTTCTGGGAGTTGTAGTCCATGCATTCACACTTTTCCCTAGTTTGGACGTATCCAATACTTATTGTTGTTCTGGTTCAAGAGGAGGTTATTTACATTTATTCAAATTCATTTAATTGCAGGTCGCTCTGGCCGCCGGCTGCAAGGAAATCAAATTTGTGACGGTGGAATGGAACCAAGGAGCGAAGGACTTCTATGACCGGATGGGTGCCCACGATACTACAGAGTCCATGCAATGGCACTGCATGGAGCTGGGCTGGGACAGCTTGCAAAGGCTGGCTGGGAATTAATGGCCTATGGGGGATGATGGGACCTGCAGTCCAAAAGGGAACTACAACTCCTAGAATCCCACGCTGGGTGACAGCAAGCCACCACTTGAACTGCCATGGCTCCATGTTGTAGGATCCAGAGGGCTGGTGCCTCTAGAAACTATAGCTCCCAAGATCCGATGGCATTGAATCATGGTGGTTAAAGTGGTGTCAAACTGCGTTAAGTCTATACTGTGTAGAACAGATGTGCCTTAGAGCGCCACCTAGTGGCTGCTTTTATACCTTGTATATTTTTCTATTATATTCTTTTGCTCAAATGTGAATTGTTTTGATACTGCAACTGATTTAATCCCATTTTTACCACTTACCTTAGGTATGTTTTTAATTGCAGTGCAATTTTGAATAATAATAATAATAATAATAATTATTATTATTATTATTATTATTATTATTATTATTATTATTCTCTCCCTAAGAAGACTCAAAGTGGCTTGAAATAAAAGCATTAGCTTTTATTTCAAGGGGGGAGCTGGATATGTTTTCCCAAATCAATCAATCAATAAAGGTGGAAGGGACCTTTAATATAATATAATATAATATAATATAATATAATATAATATAATATAATATAATATAATAATGTTCGTTTGTGGGATTAACAGAACTCAAAAACCACTGGGGGAATTGACACCAAATGTGGACACAAGACACAACCCAATGTATGTCCTTCACTCATGAAAACACTGAAAAACACAGCAAAAGGGACTTAAAAAGCCCCAAAAAGATACCGTCGACCACGGTATCCTTCTGGGACGCCTCGTGGGGATGGGTCTGGGAGGTACTGTTCTGCAGTGGCTCCACTCATTCCTCGAGGGTCGGTCTCAGAAGGTGTTACTGGGAGACTCCTGCTCAACCCCACAACCTTTGTCTTGTGGGGTTCCTCAGGGTTCAATACTGTCTCCCATGTTGTTTAACATCTACATGAAGCCGCTGGGTGAGATCATCCGGAGTTTCGGAGTGCGATGTCATCTGTACGCAGATGATGTCCAACTCTGTCACTCCTTCCCACCTGCTACTAAGGAGGCTGTCGAGGTCCTGAACCGGTGCTTGGCCGCTGTGACGGTCTGGATGGGGGCGAACAAATTGAAATTGAATCCAGACAAGACAGAGGTACTCCTGGTCAGTCGTAAGGCCGAACAGGGTATAGGGTTACAGCCTGTGTTGGATGGGTCGCACTCCCCCTGAAGACACAGGTTCGCAGTTTGGGTGTGATCCTGGACTCATCGCTGAGCCTGGAACCCCAGGTTTCGGCGGTGACCAGGGGAGCATTCGCACAATTAAAACTTGTGCGCCAACTGCGACCGTACCTTGGGAAGTCTGACTTGGCCACGGTAGTCCACGCTCTGGTTACATCCCGCCTTGATTACTGCAACGCTCTCTACGTGGGGTTGCCTTTGAAGACAGTCCGGAAGCTCCAACTAGTCCAACGGGCGGCAGCCATGGTACTAACAGGAGCGGGGCGCTGGGAGCACACAACTCCTCTGCTGCACCAGCTCCACTGGCTGCCGATATGCTACCGGGCTCAATTCAAAGTACTGGTTTTGGCCTTTAAAGCCCTAAACGGTTCTGGCCCAACTTATCTATCCGAACGTATCTCAGCCTATCAGCCCACCAGGACCCTAAGATCTTCTGGAGAGTCCCTGCTCTCTATCCCACCGGCTTCCCAAGTGCGGCTGGCGGGAACGAGAGACAGGGCCTTCTCTGTGGTGGCCCCTCAGCTTTGGAACACCCTCCCTATAGAGATACGATCAGCCTCTTCGCTGATGGTCTTTCGGAAGAGATTAAAAACATGGTTGTGTAAACAAGCATTCAATTAGTTTGTTACTATTGAATTTATAGACTAAGGACTGGTTAACTATGGATGACGAACTCTGGACTGTGATTTTTGTGACGAGAAGCATGGTATTATTATTGGTGGCCCAATAATTTGTATTGTTTTACTAGGCCTGTTTGATCAAGAAAAAATTTGTTTCTAAAATCGATTTGTAATTGGGGTGTTTTTTTGTTTCGATATTTAAAATATTTACAAAACTTTCCAAAAAAAGTTTTGTTATTTACGAAATTTTGTAAATATTAACGAATTTTTAGAATATTTTGTATTTTTTAAGAATAATATTAAAATAATATTAAAAATATTTTAAAATGGAAAATTAACCAAAAAATGGCCCAAATGTGGACCAAACACAGGCAGGATACAGCAAATGAGAGCACACACCAACAGAAGAGTCTTTTCTTTTTTAGAATATTTTTTAAAAATAATATTAAAATAATATTAAAAATAATATTAAAATAATATTAAAAAATATTTTAAAATGGAAAATTAACCAAAAAATGACCAAACACAGGCAGGATACAGCAAACGAGAGCACACACCAACAGAAGAGTCTTTTCTTTTTTAGAATATTTTTTAAGAATAATATTAAAAAATAATATTAAAAAATAATATTAAAAAATAATATTAAAAATAATATTAAAAATATTTTAAAATGGACAATTAACCAAAAAATGGCCCAAATGTGGACCAAACACAGGCAAGAGACAGCAAATGAAGCAAGCAGCACTCACAGCAGCAAGGAATGAATCCAATCCCAGTTCGTTGCTAGCAGGCAGCCATTGCCAAGCCAACCCAATGCAAACTCCCTCGCCCTCGCCTCTGCACCAAGCTACGGGCCGCGCGGAGCCGCTTTGAAAGGGCTCGCCGGCCAATCAAAAAGAGACAGCAGCCACGGACCCATGGTGCACTGCTTGGGAGCGCCGGATTGGCTCCCATGCACCAGCACTCCAGCAGCCTCCACCCCATTAACGAAACGAGCGGAGGCTCGTAAATACTATGGGGGCTGCTGGTTCGATATTTATAAACCCTTCCGGGTTTGGAGATTTGTTTCAATATCGCTTCGGAAATGGTAAAATTAACGAATTATTAACGAATTAACGAATTAACGAACCAAATCGCACAGGCCTATTGTTTTGTTTTTAAATTGGAGATTGTTTTTAATTGCTGTAAACCGCAATGAGTTGCCGATTTAGACTGAGATATTAGCGGTATACAAGTGTATCAAATAAATAAAAAATAAATAAATAAATAAATAAAATCTCTTTATTAAAACACAGAAGGTTAGTCCAAGATTGAAATGTTCTGATTGCTTCAAAAGAAATAGTTTTAAGATTGAATGGAAGCAAAAAGAGAAGGAAGGAAGGAAGGAAAGAGGTAGAGAAGGAGAGAAAGAGGGAGGGAAGGAAGGAAAGTTAGAAAAGGAAGGAAGGAGAGAAGGAAAGAAGGAAGGAAAAAGGGAGCGAAGGAAGGGGGAAGATGTAGAGAAAGAGGGAGGGAAGGAAAGAATGAAAAAAGGAAGAAAAGAGAGAGAGCAGAAGAGAATGAAAAAGGGAAAAGGAAGAAAAGAGATAGAGAAGGAAGGAAGAAGAGAAGGAAAGACGGGAAGGAAGGAAGGAAAGAGGGAGTGAAGGAAGGAGGGAAAGGAGAGAAAGAGGGAAGGTTGGCCACAGCAACGCGTGGCGGGTACAGCTAGTCTATATAAATAAAAATGTATTGTTCGTTTGTGGGATTAACAGAACTCAAACCAGTGGGCGAATTGACACCAAATTTGGACAGCATACACCTAACAACCCAATGTATGTCCTTCACTCAAAAAAAATTGATTTTGTCATTTGGGAGTTGTAGTTGCTGGGATTTATAGTTCACCTACAATCAAAGAGCATTCTGAACTCCACCAATAATGGAATTGAATGAAATGTGGCACACAAGACTCTTATGCCCAATAGAAAACACTAGAAGGGTTTGGTGGGCATTGACCTTGAGTTTGGGAGTTGTAGTTCACCTACATCCAGAGAGCACTGTGGACTCAAACAATGATGGATCTGGACCAAATTTGGCACAAATATTCCATAAGCCCAAATATGAACACAAATGGAGTTTGGGGGAAATAGACCTTGACATTTGGGATTTGTAGTTACTGGGATTTATAGTTCACCTACAATCAAAGAGCATTCTGAACTCCACCAATGATGGAATTGAACCAAACGTGGCACACAGAACCCCATGACCAACAGAAAACACTAGAAGGGTTTGGTGGGCATTGACCTTGAGTTTGGGAGATGTAGTTCACCTACAACCAGGAAGCACTGTGGACTCAAACAATGATGGATCTGGACCAAACTTGGCACAAATATTCCATATGCCCAAATATGAACACAGATGGAGTTTGGGGGAAATAGACCTTGACATTTGGGATTTGTAGTTACTGGGATTTATAGTTCACCTACAATCAAAGAGCATTCTGAACCCACAACGACAGAATTGGGGCAAACTTCCCACACAGAACCCCCATGACCAACAGAAAATACTTAAGGCCATCCAGTCCAACTCTCTTCACCAGGGCAAGAAAACGTAATCAAAGCCCTCCTGACAAAGAGCCATCCAGCCATAGATATAGATATGATTCACACACATGGAGATATAGTATCATAGATTTGAAAGGGACCCCTAAAGAAGGACAATGATATGTTGCATATTCCAGAGTAGGCAAACCAGACAATCTCTACATCGACACTGACAAAGAAACAGCAAGAAATACTGTTTACCCACAAGCAGAAAGGAATTACATATATTAGAAACCAACACTTCCTCATTACTTTATTTTCCAGATCAACAGACTGGGCCACAGCAACACCTGGCAGGGGATGGCTAGTACACATAATAAAAGGGAAAATACATATGTGTGCATGTGGGTGGGATGTACACTTACATAGACAGGATCATTCCTCCACAAACAGCTATAGATCCCACTACTCAGGAGACACCGATGGCCCTCCCTCCAATGACATTGCAGGTTATAGTGAGTGCCATGAGTATGTCCAAGAGCCCTGCCAACGTCCTCCACCAACACCATCCTGCCCACCTCCCAAGGGAAGGCTTTCATAGGGGACGATTTCATGTGTTTCCT